CTCTCTCACTCTATCTTTCTCTTTTCTCTTTCTATCTTTCTCTTTTCTCTCTCTCTATCTTTCTCTTTTCTGTCTCTCTATCTTTCTCTTTTATCTCTCTACCTTTCTCTTCTCTCTCTTTATCTTTCTCTTCTCTCTCTCTCTCTCTCTCTCTCTCTTTCTCTCTCTCTCTCTCTCTCTCTCTCTCCCTCCCTCCCTCCCTCCCTCCCTCCCTCGTGGAGGAGGAAATGGGGGAAGAGAGGGAGGAGTGGAGGTGGAGGAGAAGGAGATTGAGGAGGAGGTGTAGGCTGAGGTGTAGGTGGAGGGGGAGGGGGAAGAGGAAAAGGAGGGAGAAGAGAGAAGCTCTGTTAATGATAATGTCGCATAGTTGGTTTTGTTACATCTGCCAAAGAGGTTGTGTTTTTGTTAACGTTTTGTTAATTAGTTTATTTGTTCGTTGGTTAGCACGACAACTCAAAAGACTATAAACATTTTTTTAATGAAATATTTACCAGCAATGTGTCCTAGCCTGACTTAGATGTCATTAAATTTTAGTGGTGAAAGATTTTTTTTAATGACTGCAATAATTACCCCTATTGCCGTTGTAAGAGGGGTAACTATTATTATTATCATTATCTTAATTACCTCCGCCATGGAAGGTAGGTTCACGGACGTCATCTGTGTACTTGAGAAAGGGACGATTTTGATGTAATTGTTCAGGTGTGAAGACTTTTAATTATTGCATGGGTGTCCCTATTGCCTTGGCGGAGGTATGCGCGCTCAGAGTGATTCTAGTTTTAAGTGAATATAATTTAATTTAAGTGAATTGTCTTTGTAAAATATTGACGGCGGGACAGTCATTGTGAATGTATGCATTAGGAATTTTTCTTTTCAAAATATTCTTGTATTTATCCTTTTTGATAGGAAAATCTTGAAGAAAATAATGACATGTTCCACATCCAACCTACCAACACCAAGAAAAAAATACCATAGGAACTCCCCCACAAGGACTACAATCACAACAACCAACACTAACCACTGCAACCACAACCACCACGACATCCACAGCAACAACGATTGCAACCACTACAACCACGATAACCACAACAACAACAACAACCACAACTACAACAACCACTGGAACCACTATTACTACAACCGCTACAGCCACAACAACCAACAACAACCACTGCAACCACAACAACCTCAAAAACCAACAGAACCACTACAACATCGTCCGCCTTCTTCTACAACCACAACCACCACAACCAGCCACTACAACACCTTCTTCTCCCCCCCTACCCCCTCCCCGCCCCCCCCTCCTTCAGCGCTGGAGACGACGCCCTCTCGGCACAGGACCCTCGCCGGGATGCTGCTGGGGACGTCGTTCAGCGTGGCCGTGGTCCTGTTCGCGGGCGCCGGCTACCTCGTCAGGACGTGGCGGTGGCTCCTCCTGGCGGGCTCGGCGCCGCTGCTCGTCGTGATGCCCTTGGCCTTGTGAGGGACTTGAGGATGTGTATGCGAGTACATGGGCATACTTACTAAATATCTCTGTCACACACGCACGCACAAACACACACACACATACACAAATACGCGCACACACAAACACAAATACGCGCACACACACAAATACACACACACACACACACACACACACACACACACACACACACACACACATACATATATGTGTGTTGTGATAGCTATACTCTTAAGAGCAGACATGAACACAGAAACGTGTACACATAATTAATACAAAAACATTTCACCTAATATTCCTTAATCAGACATGGTAAAAAAAATTATTAATTCCATTTTTGCCACATGTTTGCCACGGCTGTACTTTCATTTTACTTGTGTACATTTGTGATGTGTGCGTGTGCTGTATACGGAAGTTAAGAAGAGAGAGAAAGAGAGGGGGGGAGAGATACACAGACAGAGAGAGAGAGCGAGAGAAAGAGGAGAGAGAAAGACAGAGAGAGAGAGAGCGAGCGAGAGAAAGAGAAAGAGGAGAGAGAGCGAGAGATAGTGGGAGAGACAGGCTGACAGACAGACAGAGAGATAAAAGAAAAAGATAGAGAATGCCTAAGCAACCTTGACCACTTCAACTGACCTCCCATCCCCCCCCTCCCCCTCGCTCTATGCACCCCAAGCCTAGTCTCCGAGTCTCCCCGGTGGCTTAGTCAGCAGGGACGAGGTCACGAGGCGGGGGTCATCTTGGGTCACGCCGCCGCCAAGAACCGCGTCCAGCTCTCGCCTGCCCTGACCTCCGCCCTCCGTGATCTGCAGGAGGAGGTAAGAAGGTCGTTTGAGGTTTATCCTAAAGTCCTGCCCCATTTTTTGTGTATTTTTTAAATTTTATTTCTTTATTCTAGTCTTTATTCATATATTTTTGTAGTTTTTTCTTATATTTTTGTAGTTCTTTGTATTTCTTTTTTGTAGTTTTTTGTATTTCTTTGTTGTTGTTTTTGTATTTCTTTTTTGTTATTGTATTTCTTTTTTGTTGTTATTTGTATTTATTTTTGGTTGTTTTTTGTAGTTGTTTGCTTTTCTTTTTTTATATTTTTGTAGTTTTGTGTTTTTTTTGTAACTTTTGTATTTATTATTTGTAGTTTTGTGTTTTTTTTTTGTAACTTTTGTATTCATTTTTGTAGTTTTGTGATTTTTTTTTAACTTTTGTATTTATTTTTTTGTAGTTTTGTAGTTTTTTGTGTCTTTTGTATTAATATGAATAACAAGACATAAAATAACCACACCGAAAAGATAAAAGAAAAATATATGAATGATATGAATGAAAAATAAAAACAAAAATCTAATTCAGAATCCATCAATAATCGTAACCTAACATTTTTCCTAACACAGGTCATAGAGAAGCCACAGAGGTCACAGACAGCGGACATGACCTGGGGAAAGAGGGCACGGGCGAAGCTACACCAAATAACGGCTTATCTGCGTTTTCCTGCGTTAAGACGTATTATTGTGGCCACGACAGGTATTTGGTATCTACAAGGTATCCTCTACTTGGGTATCATCCTCAACGCTAATAATTTCACGAGGTTTGTGTCTCTTTTAATACGTGGTAGTTTTATTTTTGTAAATGTCATCTTGAGTTTCTTTTTTTTGTATTATTTTTTTTTCTTTTTTTTCTTCCGGTTGTAATTTCACTTATTGTAGGGATAATGGTAATGATAATAATAATAATGATAACAGTGACTATTTTGAAGATAGTGTTGATTGTATAATGCGGATATAGTGGCAGCATGAAATCGTTGATGGTGATGATACTAACGATGAAAATAGTGATGATTAACAACAATAAAATCATTACTATAGTTCTAATCATATTTTTTATCATTGCTATTATCTGCATTATTGGTATCCTCATCAATCCTTTCTCATTATGATCATCAATACTGTAATAATTATAACATACCATCATCACTGAAAAAAACATAACTAGCACGATCAATACATACGACACTTGATATAAATTCTAGTTTAGCCTCAAACCAGACACACAGAGACCGCGGGCATAAAGGAAAACAAAAGAATAATTTTAACCCCGCGCTCACCAACACTTTCCTTTTCTCCTCCTTCTTTCTATAGCAACGACCCTTATATCTACGTGGCCATGTCTGGGACGATGGACCTCATAGCCATCCTCATAGCCACGCCCCTGAACATGCGGATGGGGCGTCGGTTTATCGTGGGCGGGGCTCTTCTGGTGGCGGGCGTCCTCCTGCTGGTGGATCTCGCGGTTCCCGAGGGTGAGGAGTGAAGTCTTGTCTCATATTGTGCTTTTCTGTTATTTATCGGTATTTGTTTTGGTTTGTTTTTGTTGAGTTGATCGCTGATATTTTTTTTAAATTAGGTATAATGAGCTATATGTCTAGAAAACTTTAATAAGGGTGATATATGGATCAATGAAAGACTTCACATTCCTAGGATCATAAAATGAGTGAAAAAATATCCCGTAATGATACAAATTATATATAATTTATGACTTATTTGTTATAATTTATTGCCTTAAAGATAATATCGTTTTAATACCGTTTTATAACTGGTATATTGTTTTAATCATTTGTTATTAATGATAAATAAAACTATTTATCATTACAACTTTTCCCCCATCATTATGCAGATTTCCCCGATCATTATGCAAGTTTCCCCCCATCATTTTGTGCAGATTTCCCCGATTATTTTGCTAATTTCTCCCCTACATTTATGCAGAATTCATGTGGATACGGTGGGTCCTTGTGATGACGTCACTGCTCCTTATCGCTGCCGTCTTCCAGGTTAGTCGCAAGATACCGGGAGGCAAACACGCGTTGATATATATATGCGGGCACACAAACACATACATAAATATGTGTGTGTGGGTGGTACTGTGTGTCTGTGTTTGTGTGCTCTGTGTGTGCGTGTGCGTTTGCGTACTCTGTGTGTGTGTGTGTGTGTATGTGTGTGTGTGTGTGTGTTCGCGCGCGCGCGTGTGTGGGCGAGCGAGAGAGAGAGAGAGACAGAGAGTGAGGTAGACAAAGACAAAGAGATAGACAGACAGACAAACAAAGGACGAGAATGAGACAGACATACAGAGAGATAATCAGACGAACAGACTAAGAGAAAGAGAACGAGACAAACAGACCAAGAGAGAGACAGACAGAGAGGCAGATAGAAAGAAAATCAGACCAAAAAACAGACAGAGACTCTAAAAAGAGAAAGAGAACGAGACAAACAGAAAGAGAATCAGACAAAGACAGACAGAGACTAGCACAATCCCACCGCTGTTACCAATGACCGGCCCCCTTTCCGCAGGTGAACTTCATGTACGTGCCAGAGCTGTACCCAACCGTCATCAGGTCTCGAGGCTTCGCACTGGCCAGCCTCGCGGGGAGTTTTGGGTTCCTGACGGCGCCCTTCATCACAGACGTTCTGGTGAGTGAGTTGATGTTGGGTCCTGGGGTTAAGGTTGCTATTTTCTGTCTCTGTGTAGGTCTATCTGTTGTAGTTGTACCTCTTGTCTGTCTCTTGCTTTCTCCCTTTTTTTCTACCCCTCCTCTCTCTCTCTCTCTCTCTCTCTCTCTCTCTCTCTCTCTCTCCTTTGTTTTTTAACAAGTGAAGTCTCCCGGTCTCTTGAATCGTAGGTGCAAATAACTCGCTTTCCCTCATTCCTGACGCAGGCGCAGAAGACGTGGTGGGCGGTCGGCGCCACTTTCGGCTCGGCAGGAATTCTGGGGAGCCTCTTGGTGCCCCTTTTGCCCGAAACAAACAACATGCCTCTCCCGGACACGATCGAGGACGTCGAAAGGAGGCGGGAGGGCATCAGGGCGGCCAAGAAGGGCAAGACGAGAGAAGATGAAGCCGAGGAAATGCCCGCCATCGGTCCTGCTGAGGAGGCTTAATTTAAGACTTTAGGCGTCGGTGTCATCAGCTGATCATGGTGTCGGTGTCATCAGCTGATCATGGTGTCGGTGGCATCAGCTGATCATGACGTCGGTGGCATCAGCTGATCGTGGCATCAGCTGATCGTGGCATCGGTGGTATCAGCTGATCGTGGTGTCGGTGGCATCAGCTGTTCATGGCGTAGGTGGCATCAGCTGATCGTGGCGTCGGTGGCATCAGCTGCTCATAACGTCGGTGGTATCAGCTGATCGTGGCGTCGGTGGCGTCAGCTGATTATATTGTCTCGGCGGCATCAGCTGGAAGATGCGGTGGCCGTCAACTGATTAAACTGTGATGTTTATTATTAATCTGTCATTATTATTTAGTTGTATCCCTGGTTTATAAATAAAGTTCAATTGTTTTGTTGTTGTTAAAAAAAAAATCCTAGAATTTAGCGAATGTTTGATGTATACTGTAATCATAAAAAAATCAAGAAAAAATACGAAAGCAAAAGCAAGCACAAACACACTGTTAGCAAGTTCGAAGCTTCACGACTGAAGTTCATTTCGTACTTTTTTTTTCTTTTTTTCTTTGAGGTAGAAATGAGGGCTCGAGTGTCTTTCCATAACAGCGCATTGTACAAGACACCTGTTGTATAAACCAAAACCCGGTACACCCCAAAGGCTTCTTCACCATCTTTCGAAATAATGAAAACAAACTCGCTGAAATAGTATAGTCCAATTCACGAACGGTTGTAAACGTCAATAATTTGTGGGGAAAAGGGGAAAAAAGCTAAATAGTCAAATATAGATGTTAAGAGATGATGCACTTATTGGAAACAATTTTATTATTTATGATTTCTAATAACTCGGCGCATATTGTACCGATAAAAAGTTTCAAATTAACTGCAATTATCTTTCTGAAAACACTTATGCCCATCATCTTTTCCCTAATGAGCACTCAAAATGCTCGGTCAATATTCTTGGAATTATTGTATATAAATCATTACACATAACTTCCTCTAATTCATATTGTAAATTGATTGCATATGTTGTAAAATATTGTCTAAATAAATTATCAAAATCAAATATCTAATCTAAACCGCTGTACTGAACTGAACATTTTACCTTAGTCTTGCTCAGGATAAGAAAACTAATCATTTTATTCAATGCATTATATTTTTTTTCACACTTTACTTTTATTATGATCCACTGTGCACAAAGCTTGCCCTTTGGAGCATAAATATTGCATATCATATATATATAATCTTTCAAGTCTCTATGAGTGATAAAATTTTGACCAAAAAAAAAGAAAAAAAAATCACGAACTTAAGACAAAAATCCGTAAAAATTAGAAACTTTGTGTTTAGAGTGGAGTGATTTCTTTGGTTAAACACACTAGCACTGTTGCGCCACATCAGTCTTTTTCACGACGTTGGTAACATCGAAGTCCTAATTTAAGAGGACAAAAAAAAAAGGAATAGGAGGAGGAGTTAACAATTGCCGTATGCGGATTGTTGCTTGTAAAATCAAATAGGGTGTGTGTGTGT